AAAACCTTCACATTTCCTTAGTGAGATCTCGGGGACGATAAATTTGAAACATTTGGGTTAGACGTGAGTGTAGAACATTCTTGGACCATTACAGCTTTCTATCTTTTCCAGGTCCCGTGTTAATCGTCTTCCCGCCAGAACTTCCACACGACCATGCTTAGGAATAGGCATACGTGCAAACTGCATCTAAGTTTGCGGGATCATCTACGGGCATAGAACGTCCTTTTAAAATTTCAGCATTCTAGCTTTTCTGGTTTCTGAGAAAATCCTGGAAAAAATGCTTCCTTATGCGCTCGTGCAGAGTCATGACAATATGCGTTTTGTGCAACTGTTGCAGAATAAAACGTACAGAAAGGCGGCTACTAAAATTCGGCCTAGCTTAACTTGGCCGTTACTCTAGCTTCTCTGCTAACACTATTTCGCGGCGGCGCTCGCTGACGCCGGTTGGCACTTTGCCAGGGGCACTGGGTAGCGCTATCCAGTACACGACAGCTGAAATTTGTGGTTGTCAAGAGAGGGGAGTGGTGATGGGCGGGTGCCCAGAAGCAGCCCATAAAAGTATTTGGCTTACACTTCAGCCTAAGATAGCATACACGTGCAATGACACTTGATTTTTTGTTTTTTTTTTTTGTTTTTTTTTTCTGATTTTTTGTTTTTTTACACGTGGCCCGTATAAGATTGTTTGGAAACGAAATAGAGCATGAGACAAATCTGTCAAAATCTAACTTCTAGGCATAACTTGCACAGTTAAAACATGATTTCAGCCGCCTCCAGGACGAATTCTTATTTATCAATGTATGTGGCAGAAATGCGATGTTCAAGCGGATACTTCCGATGCGCTCTATGAACACATCAAGACAATTCACAATCTTGAATATTTCTGTAAATTTTCCATTTTTTTTCTTTTATTCCGGGCTTTATTGTATGTGAAAAGATTGCCTTCCCTCACAGTTTTTATTTCAGCTGAAGGCGAAAAACGTTATGCATGCTTATGGTCTACCTGCTTTAGAAACAAGCGATTTCCGAGGTACTTGTTTTCGTCACTTCGTTTATTTCTGGAAAAATTTGCATTTTTTTAGGACAAAATTCAAGATCTGTACCGTCCGTATATCACACAAATTCATTTCCCGCATCGCTTCTCAATTCATGCTTCCTTTTTCCTTTTTCTCCATATTTTTGCCTATGGCCCGTTGGTATGATCAGCATGTTAGCTTCAGATCGTTTTCGTTGCTGCCTCATCTACAGCAGCATATCAAATACAAGCACTTACCGCGGTGTGCGCGATTCATCACTCCCGACAAAAAGAGCAAGTCAGTTCTTCCATACTGTTAATGCATTTCTTTATTGTGTGTGTGTGTGTGCGTGTTTGTGGGTGGGTATATTTGGGTGAGTGTGTATAGATGCTTTTAATGTGTGGGTGGGTTTGTTTGCGGGTGTGTGTGGGTGGATGTGTGTGTGTGTGGGTGGATGTGTGTGTGTACGTGCGTGCGTGTGTGTGTGGGTGGGTGGATGTGTGTGTGTGGGTGGATGTGTGTGTGTGTGG